TCTCAGTCTCCCAAGTAGCTGGGATTACAGGCACACGCCACCACACCCGGATAATTTTTGTATTTTTAGTAGAGACAGGGTTTCACCATGTTGGCCTGGCTGGTCTGGAACTCCTGACCTCAGGTGATCCATCTGCTTCAGCCTCCAAAGTGCTTGGGATTACAGGCATGAGCCACTGCTCCCGGCCAGACTAATGCACTTTTAATATATGTCTCTGCTTTTAAAACTTTAGAGCAGGGTCCCAGACCATTCTGTTCTTGCTACATGCCCAGCACGTGGAACATAGTAAATAGAAGTGCTCCATACATATATATGTGTGTGTATACATAACTTTTTTTAGAAAAGGTAGGGAAGTGAGTTCTGTGCACAACTATGAGAAATCACAATGTATGACGTAAAAAAAAGCTGCAAGATTAAAATATGAAAATTTGTCCCCCTGAATTGGAAAAGGCAGCACCATAGGCACATGTGACCACATGCCTACAATTTCATTTTTTGCTTCTACCAGTGGAATGGTCATAAGAATATTGAACTCTAAACCATGGTAGTAGGAAGGCTACCTAATGTCTACTTTGGAATTCATAGTAAAGCAGGACACAAGAGTTTAAGACAGTAAAAGAAGAACAGGACCAAAGTTTCTGACACCAAATAAATGTATGAAGATGAAAACTGTAGACTTAACAGACCTGGTTGTTTCAGGGAATGATGGGCAAATGAGCTGCCCTGGGCTAATGGGCAAAGCAACCTGAGAACAGAGTTTCTCACACCATATGTGAGGGACTAGTCTTAACCCCTAAATTGTACTCTGCCAGACATACTATATATACACATACACGTTTTGTTATATATATATATTATGTATATATATATTACACACACACACACTCTTAAATATTTTTTAGGTTTTTTGTAATGATGGGGTGTCACTTTATTGCCCAGACTGGTGTTGAACTCCTGGACTCATGCAATCCTGCCACCTTGGCATCCCAAAGTGCTGGGATTATAGGTATAAACCACTATGCCTGGCCTGTAAGATATTTTTTAAAACATTACTAGAAAAGTGATCACATATTGTCACAGTAATATAAAATTACTATAGAAGTTTCCAGACACATACAATTTGACCTCGAGAGATACGCTGAAGTTTTGTTTATCAACGTCAATCTGGCCTAAACTCTTGAATTTGTGTAAAAAGGATCTGACATTGTTTTACCACTCGATAATAAAAACATTCTGTAAGAAACAATTAGAGATAAAAGGTGCATAGCCTTGTCATTAACTTTAAAATACAACACTGCTTTGTCACAACGCCTAAAATTATCCTTTTGAATGCAACTTTAGCATTTAAGAATCTCAAAGTCTGTTAGTTTGAACATTTTGCCTTATTTTCCCATTTATATTAGATTAGAATACAGAAGCTTAAAATGTATATGAAAACATGACCATGCATTGATTAATGATGGGAATATTTTGAGAAATGGGTCATTAGGTGATATTGTTGTGTACATACACAAACCTGAATGGTATAACCTACCACAAATACAGGCTTCGTGGAACAGTTAAATATTGCTCCTAGGCTACACACCTGTATAGCATGTTACCATACTGAATACTCCATAATGCTATTTGTGTATCTAAACATAACATAGAAAAGGTACAGTAAAAATACAGTGTTACAATGTTACTGGCCCACAATCCTATATGTGGTCTGCTGCTGACCAAAACTTCCTTACATAGCATGTGACTATATTTACTAACACTATCTACTGTAAACTCCTGTACCTTTGCCTCCAAACTTCCCCAACTGACTAACACAGTGAATCTAGGGAAAATTTCTATCTATTACTAGATTCATTACCAAAGGAAGTAAAATGGAGAAATGTTTGTCTGCCCGACCTATAACAAGCTGAGGTGATTTTATTATAGCCTGTTAAGCTGTACCCTATGGAGAAAATGTTATATAATTACTGTCTCTGGAACCAAATTTCCGGAATTCAAATTCACCCTTTGCAATTTACAAGCAAAAGTTACTTAAATTCTCAGTAACAACACCTACATCTCAAAAGATTATTCTGCAGGTTAATGTGCATGTAAAGTGACTAAACTACTGTCTGGCACGTAAATTATTACTATGTAAGTGTTATAATTATTTAATTGCATAGTATGTATTAAATCCTTCTGTAGAATTGGGATAATAAACATTAAATTCATTAAATGAAACGTCACATTCCTACAATAAACTGCTATTCGCCCGTTAAAGCTTATTTCAATTCTCTATTATGAAAATACATCTATTTGGGCCGGGTGCGGTCGCTCATGCCTGTAATCCCAGCAGTTCGGGAGGCCAAAGCGGGCGAATCACCAGGTCAGGAGATCAAGACCTGGCTAACACAGTGAAACCCTGTCTCTACTAAAAATACAAAAAAATTTGGCCAGGCGTGGTGCGGGCGCCTGTAGTCCCAGCTACTCGGGAGGCTGAGGCAGGAGAATGGTGTGAACCCAGGAGGAGACTGCAGTGAGCTGAGATTGCGCCACTGCACTCCTGCCTGGGCGACAGAGCAAGACTCGGTCCAAAAAAAAAAAGAAAAGAAAAGAAAAGAAAATTTATCTATTTAATCTATTTATAATATCCTGAGAGGAAAGAGTAAGTTGGAAAATAACATATAGCCTAATTTTATATTTAGAGAAGGTGCTAATAAAGTTATAAAAGTTGCAAATCACTGTACTATTTAAGTGTCAACTGCCAAAAGTGATTCAGAGTAATTTATTATCCTTTCTTGTCCCTAGGAAAAAGGTTTAAAATCATGATTCTAAAATGCTAATAACAATAATCAAATGCTACAAATCAGTTATTTCAAAAATTTAGAACTGTATACATTTAATGTGTTATTCCTCCTTTGCACCTAAAAGCTGATGTTTCTTAAAATTGGACTTCATTTTAGAATTAAGAAAATAGATCATTAACTTATAATAGATACACCACTTCGGTCCCAGCCATTGCCAACATACCACTAACACCATCACTTTTAAGCAAACTCTTGAAGTACTCAAAACTATACATATTAATATAGACAGTAAGTCAGCTTAACCAATTCCCCAAGTTTAACTAGCAGATATTACATACAGTATGCTGAGATTATAATTATAATAAACACAGAAGATTCAGTATTTCTAGAATACTGAACAAGAGGTGTTTGTGGCATTGAGAGTACTGTGACAACCTGTGGTACCCTTTAAACTGCTTTAAAATTTTACAATGAAATCAGTGCTATTAATTTCATGTTTATTTCATACAGGGTTTTTGTCAAGTTTATCAGTTTTAAAATGATTAAGTCATAATCACCATTAAAAGACAAAATTTTCCTCTCAAACTAATAATTTCCATTCTGCTACCTACAGTTTGGCTTATCCTTTGGTCTGATAGCCATACTTCATTTCACAGGACTATACAAGTATGTACTATGTACAAAACATTTTCAAGTTTGCTTTCAAATGATACCTACAAAGAGTAGATCAAGTTTTCAAGTTTACAGAATACCATACTACAACAATTTACCACTATAAATATGTCTTAATACCTGTTTATTCCATTCTATTTAGATTGCAACACTAACAAAATTCTTAATGCATTATGTTCCCACCACCTGTATTTTCCCTACACTATCATTTTGACACTTACATAAAAACAACTCAATTCAGCAACCAAGTTTTACAACCACTGTTGCTACCAATCAAATGGTGATGCATCAGATCCCAATTCTCATGAGTATTAACATATTAAGAGAGTACATTATTTACCTAAGACTGAAGGACTGTGCCTTACTTTATAAAAAACAAAGATAGCCACATCAATTTAATTCCATATATATACTACCTATTCAATTTATTAAAAATTGTAATAAACATAATAATCAAACTAGTGCTCCAAACTTATGCTGTTCACATGGAAGACACCACAAAAGAAGACATAATATAGAGACTGCCTTGCAATAAGAAGTACAAATTCCTTCTATAAAGATGGAGAAATAAAAGGACAAATCTAGTTGTCTAAAAGACAATTCACTGTACACATTTTATTTACAGTTTTGTACACTGTCTTAATATGAATGGGACTGCTTTTCTACTTGAGCCATTTTTAACCAAAGCAAAATAACCTAAGTAATACAAAGTGTTAAAATACAGCATAAAGATACAAAAACAGACATACTAATTCTAGTTAGGAATGTAATTATGATGTTACATTTTTTATAATCCACAATTATGTTTAGGAAATCACACAAACATAGATCACTGATTTGAATGAAATGCATAAATTTGTAGCAAAGCTTTGTAGTTACAAAAAACAAAAAAAATTACCAAAGAATGCACAAAATTAATGTTTATTCCACCTTTGTGTCATATTCCTGAATCCTTCACCAATGTTACATGAGGAAAAAAACAAAAGCAAAACAAATGAAAAACTGAAATCAGAATCACTAATATTATCAAGTAGGGAAACAAATAAATTAAAATCTAGCAGCCATCAGCAAGAGTACAGCAAAGACAATGCTGTAAAAAGAAACAAAGAAAATTGCTAGAAAACTGTATGCATCATAATCTTTCAAACCAGCAAAATATGCTCCTGTATACAATGGAACAACAGAATTTTCTTTCCTGTAAAGTATAGTAATGCCAAGTTGTCGTAAAGTATAGTAATGCCAAGTTGTCTTCTCTGACTATTGTGGATAGGTAGTACAGCAAAGACAATGCTGTAAAAAGAAACAAAGAAAATTGCTAGAAAACTGTATGCATCATAATCTTTCAAACCAGCAAAATATGCTCCTGCATACAATGGAACAACAGAATTTTCTTTCCTGTAAAGTATAGTAATGCCAAGTTGTTTTTTGACTATTGTGGATAGGTAAAATCTGTATGTAATTAATGGTAATTCTACTGAAGTATTACAGAGTGGGCCAGGAACACATTTATGGATTCTGGGGATGTGTACTGTAATTCTTTGATTGGGATAGTGGAAACTTTAGCCAAAAAAAAAAAAAAAAAAAAATGAACACAGAAGTACAAGACAAAGGCGAATGAGACTTCTCTTATATCTTAGTAACATTTAGATGGAAATCAAATTTAAATGCAGTCCACTCTGCTTTTTGAAGAGGCTTTGGTTCAGCTCCCAAATCTCGATTGCTTGACGCAGTCTCCTATGAGAATACTCAGAAGGTGTCTTCTTAAACAACAAACCTATTTTTAGTGGTGGAGCCGCTCTTAGTAGCTGTGTCTGCGTGGGACTGATAACCAATCACTATCTTTGGAGGAAGTCCTAACCTTTCCTTGTATACCCTCCTAGAAGAAAAAAAAGAAGAAAAAGTAGCCATTAATTTTTACTCATAAGAAGTAAATAAATTCAAAATTTTAGGGTTACTAGTCTTTGTATTAAAAATATAGATGAGAGTACAACAGGAAATTAATTATACACCCTTTTCCTTTTAGCATAATTTACTTTTCATTTTTGCGATATTCTTGGATAATTACTTTTAAAATATTTGAGAGCCAGTCGGGTTTATTATTACTAAATTACAGGAACATTACTATATTATTATACTGTTATTTATTATACTATAATTATTACTAAATCAATAGTGAACAAAGCAAGGACAGTCCCTGAGCTCACTGTATTTATAGTCTAGTAAACACAATCAAAAAATCACAAATACATATGACGGACCTGTATTACATGCATACTTAAAACAGAAATCTGTATAACAAACATGTTTATTTTTATTCTTTGATCTAAAATGCTACATTTCACGTCTGAACCCTAGCAAATATTGTATATTACTACACAAATTATATTTACCATACCTGTTATAAGATTGCACAAACAAAAACTAAACACTTCGAGGGAGATTAAAATGAAACACTTCAAGGGAGAAAGTAATTTCTGCTTCACATACTAACTTTACAACCTAATTTTCAAGTAAGACATGACTCTATAGCAAGAATAAAATGGCACTTGTCATGAGTGCCAAAGAGTAAATACAAGGGCTGTAATAACAAGGAGATTCTAATCTCATCTACAAAATTAGAGAATTCTTCCCCTTTAAATATCACGAGTTCAAAAGGATAATGTTAAGATAATGAGCACATCTGAAAGCTGAGAAATAAAAATCAGGCTGTGTGACTATGGCTCATAAGTAAAGTGAATATGAGATAAAGCTGACAAGGTTTCAAAGAAAGATCACAGAAAACTTCATAGGTCACCTTAAAAATCTGAATCTTTAAGAAAAAATAGTAAAAATTGAAAAATAAGCAAAATCAAATAAAAATAAAGGAAGAAACATATTAATGGAGTTAAATCCTCCAACACGATACAAGGTAGTTTTTTTTTTATACCTTCCAGGAGATTTACTACCTTCCCCCTAAAATAAGGCATTAAAAAGTAATTTTATGGTAAATAAAGTGATCATTATCAAATTTGCATTATAATGCAACGCATTCCTTTCAATTATACTTAATTATTAAAAATACCAAAAGGCACGACCATTGAGTCATGCAAATTGGAAGGGTTAAAAAAAGAAAATCTTTGTTTGAAAATCTGAAGTCTTAATATAGACTCAAAAACATTTAATAGTGACAAAAATAAAAAACTTCCATAGGAAAAAAATTCTTAATTAATCTAACTCGTTTTAAAAAAAAAAAAAAAGTAAATCCTCCAAAATTAGGTTTTGATGCTGGCAGAAATATTAAAATAAGATGACAAATCAACTCCTTTCTCTTATGGAACTCCATATAGCATGAAATGTAGAAAATCCCTATACCTTTTGATCCAGAAATAAATTATGTTCACAGAGAAATTTACATGGCTGAGAGCAGTGGATCACACCTGAAATCCCAGCACTTTGGAAGGCTGAGACAGGTGGATCACTTGAGCACAGGAGTTTGACACCAGTCTGGCCAACATGGCGAAACCCTGTCTCCACAAAAAATACTGTAGTGGCTCAGGCCTCTGGTCCCAGCTATTCAGGAGGCTGAGGCAAGAGAATCACTTGAACCCAAGAGGTGGAGGTTGCAGCGAGCCGAGATCACGATACTGCACCCCGGCCTGGGCAACGGAGTGTGACTCTGTCTCAAAAATTAATTTTAAAAAGAAAAATTAATAATATTTGAAAAATCACAAAGGGACAAACCAAACATTTTGTGACCACTGACTGACCAGCACTTAATTTTAACATAAAATTGTTAAGTCAATTTTTTTTTTTTTTTTTTTTTTGGTGAGACGGAGTCTCACTCTGTCTCCCAGGCTGGAATGCAGTGGCCCAATCTTGGCTCACTGCAAGCTCCGCCTCCTGGGTTCACGCCATTCTCCTGCCTCAGCCTCCCGAGTAGCTGGGACTACAGGCACCCGCCACCATGCCTAGCTAATGGTTTTTTTTTTGTATTTTCAGTAGAGACGGGGTTTCACTATGTTAGCCAGGATGGTCTCGATCTCCCGATCTCGTGATTTGCCTGCTTTGGCCTCCCAAAGTGCTGGGATTACAGGTATGAGCCACCGCGCCCGGTGTCAAATATTACTAATATAATTGAGGTAAAAAGAAATCCTAGTTAGAAAAAAAATGCCAGCTGGTTTAGCATAGTGGCTCATGCCTGTAATCTCAGCACTTTGAAAGGCTGAGGCGGCTTGATCAAGTCCAGGAGTTCACAACCAGTCTCGGCAACATGGCAAAACCTCTTCTCCACAAAAAAATACAAGAGAATAGCCAGGTGTGGTCGTACACACTTGAGTTCCAGCTAATTGGGTGGCTGAGGTGGGAGGATCACCTGAGCCCAGAAGGTTGAGGCTGCAGTGAGCCGTGACTGCACCACTGCACTCTTGCCTAAATAACAGTGAGACCCTGCTTCAAAAAAAAAAAAGCCATTATTGCAAAGAATAAAATTTACAAAAAAAGGTTTAATAAAACCCTACATGTGGGTTTTAAACATCGAACAAAAGCCAAAGTATGTTAAATTTTAATGAAAATTATATGTAGTAAACACACATGCTTTAAATACACATACACTATTTGCCAATAATCACTGAATTATTTATTATGAGCATACATTAGCTCTTTTCAAAGTAGTACTTTTTTTCAAACAGCACTTTCAAAGTAGGAAATAATACATTCTCATTTGTGAATGAATAAAAAATGCTACATGCCAAAGCAGAGTGTTCTAGTGGTTATATACTTCACTGCTAAGAAAAAGCAATTTTACAGAAATAAAAAACATGAACAAGGCCAGGCACAACGGCCCATGCCTGTAATGCCAGCACTTTGGGAGGCCGAGGTGGATGGATCACTTGAGGCCAAGAGTTAAAAGACCAGCCTGGCCAACATGGCAAAACCTGGTCTCTACTAAAAATGCAAAAATTACCTGAGCATGGTGGCACGCGCCTGTATTTTCAGCTACTTGGGAGGCTGAGACATAAGAATCACTTGAACCCGGGAGTCAGCGGTTGCAGTGAGCCTAGATCATGCCACTGTACTACAGCCTGGACAACAGAGTGAGACTCTGTCTCTAAATATATAAATAGCTGTGAAAAAACCCTCCAAAACATCTATATCGGTATCTATATAGATATCTATACAGATCACTTGAACACAGAGGGTGAGGCTGAAGTGAGCCATATAAATAAATATCCACACTCCAGCCTGGGCAACAGAGCAAGACCCTTACTCTAAAAACATAAATATTTAAAAGTTTAGTATACATATAGCAATGCTGTAAGAGGGTTGCAAAAACTTCAATCATATAAAATGTAAGGTTCTATAATTTCGAAGTTAATGAAATGACCACAGTGAGCTTATATCGATATAGATCTATATAGATATAGATTAGATATATATGAACAAGACGCTGTGCACCAATTGAGCCGTTCAAAATTATAAGTGTTCACGAAAACAATACAAGGAAAACAGGATCTACAAAAAGTATTTCTAAAGCTACAAATAAAGTAACTTCTGGTTTTAGCCATTCTGATATTGTAAAATAAGTATGCAAAGAGCAAAACTTACCCTATATGTGTAACAGCTTCTCTGTTTTCACATTCAGTAGTCCATATTGCTATCTTATCACCTTTAGCTCTAACATTAACAACAGCGCCACATACATCATCACTGTAGTCATCAAAAGATTCTCCAATAAGGCACAGCAGCTTAAAAGAAAATCCCAAATTATGTTTAATAGATTATAAACAAGCTTATTACACTGCAAATTTCTCTTCTATATTTGCGTAGATAACTAAAGACAATTTTTAAATCGAGTTAATTTTTTAAATGTGTAAATTTTATTTGCATATATAGATCTATCCTGACTCTTAAATACTCATTCATTTATTTACTATCAAATCATTAACAGTTGTCTTCACCTTTTTCAGCAAATTTGGCAGTTGATATGGTGGCAGACATAAAAGCTGATTTTATTAATATTCATTTGCTCTGCTGCTGCTTATATTTACGAGCAAACAAATATTAATAGAATAACAAAAATAGCTACTCATGGTTAATTTCTTCTTGTTCTTACTTTTTATGAGTATTTGTTAATGGTTTGGTTTTTTGTTGTTGTTTTTTGAGACAGCGTCTTGCTCCGTTACCCTGGCTGGAGTGCAATGGGACCATCACAGCTCACTGCAGCCTCAACCTCCTGGGCTCAAATGATCCTCCCACCTCAGCCTCCTGAGTAGCTGGGCATACACACAGGGACATGTCACCATACCCAGTAAATTTTTGTATTTTTTGTAGAGACAGGGTTTTGCCACGTTGCCCAAGTTGGTCTTGAACTCCTGAGTTTAAGTGAAATGCCTGCCTTGGCCTCCTGAAGTGTTGAGATTTCAGGTGTGAGCCCAGCCCTAACGAGTTTCTTAATTGTGGTAAAACACAAATGACATAAAATTTATCATTTTAACCACTTTTAAGTGTACAGTTCAGTGGCGTTAAGTACATTCAACATTGTTGTACAACCATCACTACCACCATCCATCTCCAGAACATTTTTTTAACTGAAAAATGGAAATATCCTTTTTAATGTGGAATTCCAAAATAGTATTTGCTGATGATCCTCGCCCTCAAAAACAGAATTTTCTTCTTAAAAAGTCATTCATTCATTAGCTGTGTGTGCTGGCATGCACCTGTAGTCCCAGCTACTTGAGAGGCTAAGGCAGGATGATTGCTTGAACCCAGGAGGCTACAGTGAGCTATGATGGCCCCACTACACTCTAGCCTGGGCAACAGAGCAAGACCCTGTCTCTAAAGAAACAAAATAGTCACTTATTCAAATATTTAAAGTGATTAACTCAACAAGTGCTAACTATAAACCAGGCACGGTTTCAAGTGCTAGGGATACAAAAGAGACTACAAACCCCGCTCCTATAAGCTTGGGGTTTGGAACCTCTGTCGACAGAAAATGCCTATTATCTCATATTTAATTTGTCTTGTAAAGCCAAAAGTTCCAGTTAATATCACAACATGTAGGTTGAATGGTAGTACGCAACAATTTTATTGTTTGCTTCACTGATCTAAAAAGTTTAGTGGGACAGGCACAGGGACTCACACCTGTAATTCCAGCACTCTGGGAGGCTGAATGGGAGGATCACTTGAGGCCAAGAGTTTGAGACCAACCTAGGCAACACAGCAAGATCCCACCTCTAGGAAAAAATTTAGAAAATTAGCTGGCCATTGTGGCATGCACCTGTAATTCCAGCTACTTAAGAGGCTGAAGTGGGAGGATCACTTGAACCCAGAGGGTGAGGCTGAAGTGAGCCATATAAATAAATATCCACACTCCAGCCTGGGCAACAGAGCAAGACCCTTACTCTAAAAACATAAATATTTAAAAGTTTAGTATACATATAGCAATGCTGTAAGAGGGTTGCAAAAACTTCAATCATATAAAATGTAAGGTTCTATAATTTCGAAGTTAATGAAATGACCACAGTGAGCTTATTGTGGTGAGAGTCACACTGCCAATCACTTAAAATATCTGACTTATAATGTGGTAGGATGTTTCACTGTACTATAAACAGGAGTCACATGACAGAACAAAAACAATTACTGACCCTGATTTTCTAGTGTTGGGCATCCTTCTCTTAAATTAAGTAACAAATGTAAAACATAACATATCTTAAGTTTCAGTATTCCCAAACTACCTCTAAAACTGCTTTATACTTTTAAAACCTTACTGTCTCTAGCCAAAAGCGATCAAGGTCACTTCGTCTCTGCTGTTTGTTCAATGTAATTAGCCATCGTCCTCCCCGTTTGTTTTTCTCATCTTCCCACATAGGCTCAATACCATCCTACAGGGTTAGAAGACAACAGTATTACACAATATTGTTATCTTGACCTTGAGAGATAATCATTAAAAACAGTAAGCAACAACACTGTCAACTTCTTACTTTATTGCCCATAAAACTGCCATTGATGCAGTTTTAAAAAAGTGCATAAGACTTAAAGCCAGAAGCATGACATTATAGAATTAGAGTCCTGACTTTGTCACTTATTAGCTATCAAATCTTGAGTTTCACTTAATTTGAAGGTTCTTAAACTTTCTGAGTAGCAAACATATTTTAGAAGCTCTGTACATTTCTATACCTAGAAAATACATGCAAAAACTATGCAGTTTCAGTTAATGAATGTCCCGTCCCCCTACCACCTGACAAAGCCCAATAATAAGTATTCCAAGGACCCATGCTCCTAAGGTTAAGAATGCTTGATAAACTTAGTCTGCTCAAATATAAAAAGGAGTAGACTGGAAAATCAAAGCTCTCATCAAAATCAATCTCAGTATGTGCCCACAGAATAACTCTCTCTCAATTTTTATAAACAAATAGAGTAAGATATATTGATATTAAAGCATACTATAGCCAATTAAATTATCAGCCTGTTCTTCACACTATCAAGTATTCCTAAGTTTATGGCAAGATTTCTTAATGAATACCAAATGGCCCAGTCCTATAATAAATATATAAAATCACCAATTAAGCATACCTTAAAAAGTGAGTAGTCACAGCCAGGCATTAAATTACTAGACAACTGGATATGGTTGTACAGACTAGGTAAAAGAAAGTAACAATTAAAAACACAGAACATGTAATATAGAGTTCAGGTGCTTACATACATATACATTTAGAACATATGATGAAAATAAACAGATAAAAGTTCATGTTTACTTGTTTCTAAGGAGTCAATTTCTGAAATGGACAAAACAGATCTTAAAAGCAGTTAAATAATCAACTTTAGATGAAAGGTATAATTTTCAAAAAATTTCTAGTGACTGCTCTGACAAAAATATATTTTATATGTTAGTTAACTCAGTGCATACATATGTATATATATAAGAAACTGAGAGGAGAGGTATAAGGTGGCTTTAAGTAGATGAAGTAATTTCTGAAGTTAATCAACAGTTTTTTCACAAACATAAAAAAATAATAACAGAAAAGATGAACTTCCTGACCATCAGGATTGCATGACTGAAACAGTTGATTATTATCCTCGAGGGTATCCAAGAGTAAAATAGATCAATGGTTCCCAAACACCACAAATTGTCACTGGTTATTCAACATAATAATCATTTTAAAACTGATTTTAGAAAAATAAATAAATAAATAAATATAGTTCCAAGCCCTACCTCTTGGGATTATAATCACCTAAATATGAGATAGAACCCTGCAGTCTGTATTTCTAAACTATTTCCCAAATATCAAATAGCAGAATAACATTTGCAATGACTTAGTTGCTTGCCTGAAGGCAGGAGGCTTAGACCATTTGATCTCCTGTAGTCTTTTACAGCAAAATTGATTTAAAAATTGGCAACTCTTAAGAATCTTTTGCCTGTCTCCAATATTAGATGGCAGAAATAATGAACTTAGCTGCGTCTACAGACCATGGATGATTCTATTATCCTTAGTCTGGTTCTCCTGGTGCTATATTAACCCCATCTGGGAATATTTCAGGAAAAGATTTAAGGGCCGGGCGCTGTGGCTCACACCTGTAATCCCAGCACTTTGGGAGGCTGGGGCAGGCGGATCACGGGGTCAGGAGTTCCAGACCAGCCTGACCAACATGATGAAACCCCGTCTCTACTAAAAATACAAAAATTAACCGGGCGTGATGGCATGCGCCTGTAATCCCAGCTACTTGGGAGGCTGAGGCAGAAAAATCGCTTGAACCTGGGAGGTGGAGGTTGCAGTGAGCCGAGATTGCCCTATTGCACTCCAGCCTGGTGACAGAGCTAGACTCCATCTCAAAAAAAAAAAAAAAAAAAAGATTTAAGACAGAAGTTGGCATTCTTTAAATGAAATTCCATAGTATAACACACAAATAATAGTTTAGGTGAGACAACCTAAGATCACATAAGGTTTGTGAGTCACTACACCTCATGGTAACTCACAACTACATCATCTACGACAGCCTCCCCTAGGCAACAAAAAAAGCCTGCATACTAAGTGACTATAAAATTAGCACTACTAATTTCATAAAATAAATGGATATTGTGGGAACGAACTTCAATAAAATATTTTTCTTTTTGCTGCCTCCTTTCTCTTCCGTGGTGCTCAAAGGTCTCTCAAGTAAGTCCATAATGAGAATTTATAATGGCACACCTAAACAGAATCCTAAGACTCTGCAGTCTGGATAAATACAAAGGGACTCAATGGTTATTTGTAATAAATTTGCTAGAAAAGCCAGAAATTAGGAAGTGGCCCACACATTTACAGAAAATTGAAAAATCCTTCATATCTCTAAATTATGGTATAAAAATCTACTATGCAATGACACTGACTACACATAACTGAAGTGTGGAGGCACTGTTCTAATTGGTACAATTACGTAAACTGGTAAAAGCCAAACAAACTAGATAAATGCAAAACTGATTGGGGAACATGGCTCAAGCCTTCCTTTTCCTCTGTAGGAGAATGAAGAGCTTTTTTTGGTGCAGAAGAGTTATTTAAGAGTTCTGAATAAACACAATTAGAGAAGAAAAACTACTTGATGTTTTGATGACGGGCAAAGAATAATCCTAGTTTAACTAGACAACTAGACACCTATAAATTATTAGGCCTTAAATGTAGTTACTATTAAGTGTAATGCTTTTAATAAAAAATAAATACTCTCAAAGTTTACTCTCAAATGAATGTTCTCAAATACTCTCAAAGTTTATAGTTTTAACTGTATGCTTTGCTTTTTTCAGCAACACAAATGAATACAAAATACCTATTAGAAGTCAAGCACTGGAAATACAGACAAAAATGTTTCTGCTGTTGAAGATGTATGTATATATGTATAAATTTTATACCACAATCTATTCCTTTGTATGAGCAGAATATCTTGAGGGGGTTACATTAAAACATAAGAGTAGCATCACTAATTCAGCATGTATATGATCCTAAAAAAAGATGTATAAGTTAGAATATTTAAATAACTGCTAGGTAATTTAAAGCACTTATTAAAAAGTTTTGCCTTTCAGGGTCTCACATAGTACCTCCCTACTCATTCTCCAAGTAAATTTGACACACTGGATTAACTTTGTTTTTAAGAGAATCAATAATCAAAACTTCTTGAAATAGACTTTACAATTTTTAATTTTATTTATTTTATAGAGAAACAGGGACTCATGTTGACCAGGCTGGTCTTGAACTCCTGGCCGCAAGTGATCTTTCTGCCTCAGCATCACAAAGTATTAGTATTACAGGCATGAGCCACTGAGCTCAGCCTTAAATTTTGTTTTGAGGTCATGCAAAAGTTGATGATCCCAATTCTTAACTTTCTGCTTATACAGAAACAAAATTTCAAAAATATTTCAACTATTCTTCTTGAGGTTGATCAAAGTATAATGAAATGAATAAAGTATCATGATAGATACTGGCATTCCCTTGACAAACTCTGAATTCTGAACACTTCAACCTTTGATATCGTAAAATCTCTGGTACAGGAAATTCCAGATGTTGCACTGAAAACAGTTTGCAGAAATGAGAACCCAACAATGCACTGGAATACCCAGTTATGAGGCAAATTTACCTTGGCAACCGAGAGAGGAACAAGTTCCAACTAGTTGTCAAAAGTTCTAAGGGCAATAAAGCATTCTTGAGCTAAGGATATCTCAGGACAAGAAACAGAATAATCAGGGCTAAGGGATGACAAGATTGAAGCTTTGTAAAACTAACAAAGCATAATCACCAGTTCAAACTTTTGTGAGGAGATAAAAAAAATAGACGAACATTCATTAACTGTTTACCTCACACTTCATTTTGTGAATTCGACCTAAAAATAAACTACACAACTAATAAAAAAACCAACATACTAAAACAAATGGTTACTTACGCCCAAAAGTCTTCAACAGTATCAAACTTAGAGATCAGCCGCAGGTTTGCTTGCCAAGTTTTGCTTTTATCATTTTTAAAAAACCAGAGTGCCCATCTAAAAATAAAAAGTCAATGTCAAAAAATGGTAGCTGCATCCCCATGTTAAAAGCAACATTATTCACAACAGTCAGAAGGTATAAGCAACCCAATTGTTCATCAACAGGTGAATGAAAAATGTATATATATACACCATGGAATACTAAAAAGCCCTGATGAAGGAAATTCTAACACTTGATAAAACATGAGGGGAAGCTAAGGACATTAAGTGAATAAGCCAGCCCCTCTCCAAAAAAAAGATAAATACTATATGATTCCACTTTTATGAGGGATAAGAAGTCAAATTCACAGAAACAAAAAGAATGGTGATTGCCACTAACCAAGGAGAAGGGAGTTTAGGGTTACAGAGTTTACAGAGTTTTGGAAGATGAACAAGAGTTCTGGAGATTAGTTGTACAATAATTGGTTGCAGAAAGTACTTAACATTAATTGAACTGTACACTTACAAATAGTTAACACAGTACATTTTAAGTTTACCACAAAAATTTAGGAAAAAAAAGTAAAATGCTAGTTGTTATTCCAGTGGCAAATAATGAGAGTTCTCCATTTCTTTCATTTAAAAAATATGTATTTTATGTCTACTACATAACAGATTCTCTGCTATACCTAGGGACCCAAGATACACTGAAACTCATCACTCAACGGAATTCATAGAGATGAGGCAGAGAGACAACTACAGTGTGCTAAGTGCTATGACAGAGATAAGCAAGCACAATTATTTAAGAAAAACACGGCAGAGCTGGGTGCGGGTGGCTCACACCTGTAATCCCAGCACTTTGGGAGGCTGAGGTGGGTGAATCACCTAAGGTTGGGAGTTCAAGACCAGCCTGACCAACATGGAAAAACCCTGTCTCGACGAAAAATACAAAACTAGCCAGGCATGGTGGTACATGCCTGTAATCCCAGCTACTTGGGAGGCTCAGGCAGGAGGCTGTGGTGAGCTGAGATCACGCCACTGCACTCCAGCCTGGGCAACAAGAGTGAAACTCCATTTCCAAAAAAAAAAAAAAAAAAAAACACACAGCAGAAACACTTAAACTGTAAAAGAAGGCAAGGGGCCAGGCACGGTGGCTCAAACCTGTAATCCCAACACTTTGGGAGGCTGAGGTGGGCGGATCACGTGAGGTCAGAAGTTCGAGACCAGCCTAGCCAACATGGTGAAACCTGGTCTCCACTAAAAATACAAAAAAAATTTAGCCAGGCATTGTGGTATATGTCTGTAATTCCAGCTACTCATGAAGCTGAGGCACAAGAATCACTTGAATTCAAGAAGCAGAGGTTGCCATGAGTCGAGGTTGTGCCACAGCACTCCAGCCAGGGCAACAGAAGGAAACTGTCTCCAAAAAAAAAAAAAAGAAGGCAAGAAACAGGATGGCTGATATTTCTCAGAGGAACAAATTAGCCAAGAAGAAACGAGAGTGCCAGGAGTGGGGAAACTATTAAATGTGACTCTATATTTAATCAAACACCTAACTGGGAAAATAATAAAGATTGAGTAATGCTGCATAGATATGTACTGAAATAACGTATACTAGTTTTAATATATCTGTAGATACTTCTCTTAAAATAGTTTTATTCCTACATAATATATAATAGCTTATATATACCTAACATTATATATAGAGGCATACCTTGGATATATTGTGAGTTCAGTTCTAGATCATCATAATAAAGTGAGTATCACAATAAAGGAACTATCTTTATGGAGAGTCACACAAATTTTTTGGTTTCCCAGTGCATATAAAAGTTATGTTTACACTACACTATGGTCTACATTATGTCTGAAACAGCATTATGTCTAAAAAACAAAAAGTACATACCTTAATTAAAAATTCTATTGCTAAAAATGCTAATGATCATCTGAGCCTACAGAAAGTGGTAATCTTGCTGATGGAGGGTCTTCACTTGTTGATTGCTGCTGACTGATCATAGTAGTGATTGCTGAAGATTGGGGTGGCTGTGGCAATTTCTTAAGACAACAATGAAGTTTGTCACACTGATTGACTTCATTTCACAAAAGATTTCTCTGTAGCATGCAATGTTGTTTGTAAGCATTTTACACAGTAGAATTTCTTTCAAAATTGGAGTCAATCCTTCCAAACCCCGCAGTTGCTTTATCAATTTGGTTTACGTAATATTCTAAAATCCTTTGTCATTTCAACAATGTTCACAGCATCTTCACCAGGAATAGATTCCATCTCAAAAAACCTTTTTTTCTGCTCACCCATAAGAAGCAACTCCTTATCCATTCAAGTTTTCTCATGAGACTGCAGCAATTCAGTAACATCTTCAGGCTCCATTTCTTACTGTACATCTCTCGCTCTCTGCACCACATCCGCAGTGACTTCTTCCACTAAAGTCTTGAACCCTTCAAAGTCATCAATACAGGCTGGAATAAATCTTGTTCATGTTGATATTCTGACCTTCCATGAATCATGAATGTTCTTAATGACATTCAGGATGCTGAATCCTTTTGGAAGGTTTTCAATTTACTTTGTCCAGATCCATCAAAGTAATCACTATCTACAGCATTTATAGCCTTATGAAATATAGTTCTTATTAATAAATAGTAAGGCTTGAAAGTCAAAATTCCTCTTTGCTGCTCCATAGGCTGCAGAAAGTACGCTGTGTTAAGAGGCATGAAAACAATTCATCTCCGTCAGAGCTCTTGGGTGACTAGGTGCATCATCAATGAGCAGTGATATTTTGAAAGGAAACTTTTTTCTGGGCAGTAGGTTTCAACAGTAGGCTTAAAGTATTCAGTAAACCATGCTATAAATCGATGCACTGTCATCCAGACTTTGCTGCTCCATTTCCAGAGCATGGGCAGAATGGATTTAGCATCATTCTTAAGGATTCTTAAGATTTTGGGAATGGTAAATGAGCACTGGCTTCAACTTAAAAGTCATCAACTGCAAGATCCCCTAACAAGAATCAGCCTGTCCTTTGTAGTTTGAAGCTAGGCACTGATTTCTCTCTAGCTAGCAAAGTCCTAGATGGCATCTTCTTCCAGTAGAAGGTTGTTTTGTTTACACTGAAAATCTGTTTTTAGTGTAAACTTCCTTCATCAATTACCTTAGCGAGATCTGGATAATTTGCTGCAATCTCTACATCAGCCCTTGCTGCTTCACCTTGTACTTTTATGGGGGTGACTTCTTTCCTTAAATCTTATAACTGACCTCTGTTAGCTTTCAACTTTTATTCTGCAGCATCCCCACCTCTCTCAGCCTTCATAACATTGAACAGAGTTAGGGCCTTGCTATGGATTAGGCTTTGTCTTAAAGGAATGTTGTAGCTGGTTTCATTTACTACCCAGACCACTTGAACTTTCTCCGCATCAGCAATGAGGCTGTTTTGTTTTCTTATCATTCATGTGTTTGCTGGAGCAGAACTTTTGATTTCCTTCAAGAATTTTTCCTTTGCTTTTACAACCTGGCTAACTTATTTGGTGCAAGAGGCCTAGCTTTTGGCCTGTGTTGGCTTTTGACATGTCTTCCTCGTAAGTGTAATCATTTCTAGCTTTTGATTTAAAGTGAGAGACATGCAACTCTTCCTTTCACTGTAAAATGTAGGGGCCATTGTAGGGCTATTAATTGGCTTAATTTCAATATTGTTGTGTCTCAGGGAATAGGTAGACCCAAGGACAAGGAGATGGGAATGGCCAGTCAGTGGAGCATTCAGAACACATACAACATTTATCAATTAAGTTGGCCGTCTTATATGGCCAATATTCATGGCACCCCAAAACAGTTACAATAGCAACATCAAAGATCACTGATCACAGATCATAACAGATACAAGAAAGTTTGAAATACCATTGAGAATTACCAAAATGTGACAGAGACACCAAGTGAGCACATGCCATTGGAAACATGACATCAACAGAACTGCTTGACACAGGATTTCCACAAACCCTCAATTTATAGAAAAGGCATGATTTGTGAAGCACAGTAAAATGAGGTATGCCTGTATAATATTTTCTCTAATGCCTTGAAGATAAACTCGTGGAACATTAAAGTTACACTTTATCCCAAGATGATTGCCAAGATCATTCTCCTTTAGAAGAATTAAACTGAATATTCTCTGATTACAATACCAAAGGAAAGTCAAAGGGAAATTTCATTTTCTCATCAACACAAATGTTGTCTGAAGAGCCTTCCAAATTGAATATGTATTTCATAATCCCATAATTAATACTCAGTAACCTCACCTAGACAGAAAAATGAGATGCATTTCAACATGTACTTGATAATTTGTCAGCAACTGCCACCCCATTATCAATAAAAAAGAAAAAGAAAATGCAAGAAAACCCCCAACGAGGTCAAGTACTACACTCTGAATTTCTAAAAATAAATTCCAAAACAAAAAGACTCTGCACCCAGCCATTTAAACACATAAAGATCTACGAGGCCAGGCGAGGTGGCTCACATCTGCAATAACAGCACTCTAGAAGGCTGAGGCAGGAAGAACACTTAAGCCCAGGAGCTCAAGACCAGCCTGGGCAACATAGTGAGAGATCGCCTCTACTAGACATTTAAAAAATTAGCCAGGCATGGGCCAGGTGCGGCAGCTCACGCCTGTAATCCCAGCACTTTGGGAGGCCAAGGTGGGTGGATCATGAGGTCAAGAGATGGAGACCATCCTGGCCAACACGGTGAAACCCCATCTCTACTACAAATATAAAAATTAGCTGGGCGTGGTGGCACGCACCTGTAGTCCCAGCTACTCAGGAGGCTGAGGCAGGAGAATCGCTTGAATCTGGGAGACGGAGGTTGCAGTGAGCCGAGATCGTACCACTGCACTCCAGCCTGGTGACAGAGAAACGCTCCGTCTCAAAAAAACAAAAATTAGCTAGGCATGATGGCAAGTGTCTACAGTCCCAGCTACCCAGGAGGCCAAGGCGGGAGGATTGCTTGAGCTCAAGAGTTTGAGGTTGCAGTGAGCTATGATCATGCCACTGGACTTCAACGTGAGTGACAGAGCAAGACCCTGTCAAGG